CGTACCGGCCCGGGACCGGCAACGGGATCGCAACCCTCGGTGTTGCGCCCGCACCGGGGACCGGCAACGGGATCGCAACCCTCGGCGTCGCGCCCGCACCGCGCTCAGCCAGTGAGCTGGAACCGGTCTCCACATGGGATCCAAACCCTCAGCGGGAGCGCCGCCACGCTCCCAAGTGGCGCACTCTCCAGTGCGCCACTGGGCCGGCCCATATTTATTTTTTAAAAGCTTATCATCGTTTTCCTCGACCCACAAAATGTTTTTCAAATGACAAAACGGACAATGTATAATTTTACAATCCAGTTTTTAAATAATAAAAGCTACCATAGTCTCCCTCCTCATTTTATCTTTTTTTTGTGTGTGTGTGTGTGTCCGGCAACGGATCGCAACCCTCAGTGTCGCGCTCGTACCGGACCGGGACCGGCAACGGGATCGCAACCCTCGGTGTTGCTCCCGCGCCTCGCTCAGCCAGTGAGCGGGAACCGGTCTGTATGTGGGATCCGAACCCTCAGCGGGAGCGCCACTGCACTTCCCAAGCAGCGCACTGTAGCAGTGCGCCACCGGGCCAGCCCCTCCCTCCTCATTTTAGAAATTTAATCCCATTACATATAGTCATCCCTCAGTTTCCATGGGGAATTGGTTCCAGGACCCCCCTAAGGATACCAAAATTTAGAAAAGTTTAAGTCCCTGATATAAAATGGCATAGTATTTGCATATAACCTACACACATCCTCCCATATACCTTAAGTCATCTCTAGATTATTTATAATACAATGTAAATGCTGTATAAATAGTTGTTATACTATATTGTTTAGGGAATAATGGAAAGGAAAAAAGTCTATATTTGTTCAGTACAGATACAATTTTTTTTCAAGTATTTTCTATCTGCAGTTAGTTGAATCCAGCAGATGCTGAAGCCATGGATATGGAGGGCCAACTGTATTTGTAGATAAAACTTACTAATGTGACTTAAGATGAGAAGACGTTTTAGAAATATCTGTTTAGAAAGCATAGTCTGGCCTTGTCCATTCATAGGAGAGAGAAGTAACAGTTCCAGAGGGGAAGCATTTGGTGAAGACAACAGATTAAATACAGATGTTTGGGTTCTCAGGACAGCAGTGACTGTGGATGCTTGTCTGTGGGGTGGGATGACAGAGTTCATGCTTTCCTATTTCAGAGTCATGTCTCCAACCTCCTTTGTATACGGCGAGTCTGTGGATGCATCCAACTTCATTCAGCTGGATGATCTGGAGTGTCATTTTCAGCCCCTCAACGTCACCCTTCAGGTACCCACCCTTGTCACTGGGAGCCAGCGGAAGGGCTCATGGGATGTCTCCTCCTGAATGGCAACTAAAAGGCCAGACTATTTTCAGGAGGAACCCTTCCCAGCCTGGTTGGCTGGTGTGGTGTGTGTGATCTGTAACCACACACAGAATTAATCCCTTCTCTGTCTGGCACTCTGCTGTGCAGACTCCTCTGCTTTTCAGGACTTGGAAGGAGAACTGCATCATGGTGAACATCAGCTTTCCCTAAGAAGGCATGGGATGGCCAAGGTTTAGCCAATGTCCCAGCCTGAGTGATCTCATGAGGACTCCTTTCTGTTCTGCGTCATTCTCCACCTTATGGGCAGGGGTGCTTCGGAGGCTTTGCTGTGTCCCCTTCCTCCTGGGGCTTTAATGCTGACTCAGCCAGGAGCCCACTCCTCCCACAGGGGAGCAGCCTTTCAGAAGTGCAGTTTTGCAAGAGCAGAGCCGTGTGAGCCCATGGAAACCCCCATGGGAAGACACAAACTGTGCCCTCACTGAGCCAAGGCTGGCTCACCCAGTCACGTAAGCACCATTTCCAGCAGAGCCCCTTGGTGTGGACTGTGGGCCTCCTGAAGGACACTGTTCCTTCTCTTAATTGGGGACCACAGGGTGAGTATTTTAGGCTTTGCAGGCCATACGGTCTCTGTGGCAACTATTCAACTATGCTACTGCAGTGCAGAGGCAGTCACAGACAACACATAAACAAAACATTAGTTATGGACACTAAAATTTGCAATTCATATCATTTTCATGTCACAGAATGTTATTCTTCTTTTGATTTTTTTTCTCTCCCAACTGTTTAAAGATGTGAAACTATTCTTAGCTTGCAGGCTGTGTGACAACAGGCATTGGACCAAATTTGGCCTGCAGGCCATAGTTGATGACCCCTGCTTTAAAGTGTGAATTCTTGGGCCGGTGCAGTTCAACATGTGAATATTTGCTTGTGAAGATAAAGGGACCTCAGTATCATCCAGTCCATTTCTGTCAATTGACAAACACAGGGATTTCCCAAGTGAGAAAGGACCCAGAAGGTCCCAGAGCTAGGAGAGATGGGGCTGAGGCCAGGGAAGGTCAGCATTCACTGGATTTCATGTGGCCCAGCGCCCTGCCAGCAGCTGCAGATGATGTTCAGGAGAGGGAGGTGGGCCCAAGTGGCCCCGTGGTGCACCAAAGTCCACGTCTCACAGCTCCCAGAGCTCTTCCCTGCTTCTTCCTTCCCCATGGAGAGGATGGCATCCTGGTCTGGCATTCAGTGCTATGGCCAAATAATTATTATTTTCTTACCCTGTGGCCTCTCCGAAGTGGACTTGAGGAATGACAAATAATGACAGGGTGAGGGTCCAGAGAATGAGGCAGTAAAAATTTGTGGGCTCTCACAAACAATGGTCTTCCTCTCTCTAGAGTGTTCTCCCAGGCACAAGATCTCGGAAACCATGATGGATAACACATGTCCCTAGCTCAGAGAGGATGCGCCGCCTGACCAGCTAAGCCCCAGCTGTCACATCTGCCCTTGATTTACAAGGGAGAAAGGGAAAGGTGGGGTTGGAGCTTTTGAGACTGTAGAGCCATTGCTCTGAATAGCACTTCTGTGTTTCTGAATTGCTTCTCCAAGTTGGTTTATTTTTCTCCTTTCCTTTTTGTAATTGGACGGAAAACAGGTAAAGACCAGATGGGTTTATTTTATTTTAGTTGTTTATATTCTTTCCTACTCTTAGTTTTTGAGGTGTCTTTTAATAAAAGGTACAGTCAAGAAAATTATTTCGAAGGTTCAAGTGACACAGACCATGTAATGAAGAGGGTTTAGGTGTTGAAAGAAGGCAAGAATAGCAGTTATACAAAAGATGCTGAATATTCTTATCACCCTCTGGAAAAAAAAAAAAGAAATCTGAGGGCATGCAGTTTATCCTTCCAATTGTTTCTCTGGAGGAATTTTTACAGGGAGCTTCTAGTTTGGTATTCAGACAAATATCTTTCTTTGTATCTGACCTGAAATAGGACCCAGGCTAGAGAATGGGCCCTGGGGAATGAGTGATTGGCATGGCCCTTGGATAAACTTCTCTCTGATCCACTGCCTGAGGAAGTGCATAGCATTCAGTCCGGGGCTGAGAGTCAGCTGGGTCTGGAAGATTGATAGTGTGGGCCATTGATCAGAAAGAGATCCTTGTGTGTTAGCAAAGCCCACTGTTTTCTTGAGAATTCTCTGACTCATTTTTTTGGTATAATTGTCTTCTTATGGTTGTCCTGCAGGAGGATCACTGACCAGGTTGGTGGAGATAATGACCAGGAGGTGGAGATAGTTGGGGAGGCGGAGGGGATCAGGAATATGGGGGAAATTCTTCTATATTTCCTTATTCCAGCAACAACATTCCTGAAGAACAACACAAGACTTTCCATATGAATGGATTGTTTTATGTCTTTTAAAATCTGTTATTCAACAAGCTACATAATTGTTTAAAGACTCCATGCAATTGCAGATGGCAGAAAGGCAGAAATACTAGTGCCAGACCTGCTTTCTACATTTCATCACAGTTTTTCAACAGACACAATAATTTGTTGGCCATTGATAGGCTTTTCTTGGCCTCAAGAGTCAAAGCGTTTCCCCATCTGAAAAACAACAGTGAAAAATGATGTAGATGTTTCACATGAACATTTGCAGAAAATCCAATGTTAAGACATTTGTTAAAAATAAATATGGTAATACAAGCTCTCCCATCCTCCTGGCTCTGATAAGTGAAATAATATAAATCAGAATCATTTTCTGTGCTTATCCCCCTGCATGCTTTAATTGGGATTTCCCAGACATGTCAGGGGGTTTCTTTTCAATTCTGTGCTCTCGTGTTTCACTTCAAATTAGTTATTTCAATTGTGGCTAGATACTCCTTCCTTTTCTTTTGTCTGAGGGTTGTTATTTTTGGTAAAATTTATTCTTTTTGAATCAAGAGTTGGCAACAACCGCTCATCTGCTCTATCATTTTTTTATCTATTTATACTTTGAAGAAAAACCAACTATTGCCAAAAAATGAAGACACGTTTTCTAGGGAAGAGCTGACTGGAGCTAGAACCTCATACATTCTGTCTCATGTGGAGACCCAGTTAGATTTCTGGCCTTTGGGGGGGGGGGGGCTGCCCTCTGACCTCGACTTCAGAGATTCAAGTCCTTGAATTCTCTCTCCAGTCCCTGGGCCACCAAGCATTGTCTTCCTCCATCCTACTCGTCTCCTGTTTTTTTAAATTCATCTGTTTTTTTAATACTCATTTTTTTAAATTCATTTTTAATTGACTAATAAAAATTAATCTTTTAAAAAATAATATCTTGATTGAGATATTATTCCCTTAAAGTTCACTTGTTTAAAATATACAATTCAGTGATTTTTAGTATGTCTACAAAATTGTGCAACCATCATCATAATCTAATTTTAGAATGTTTTCATCACCCCAAAAAGAAACCCTGTACCTATTTAGCAGTCACTGCCTATGTTAATTTCCTATTGCTGCTGTAACAAATTACTACGAAATTAGTGGCTTAAAACAACATGTATCTATCATCTTACTGTTCTGGAGGACAGAAATCCAAAATGGGTCTCACTGGGCTAAAATCAGTGTCGGCAGGGCTGTGCTCCTTCCTGGAGGCTCCAGGAGAGAATCCATTTCTTGCCCTTTCAGCTTCTAGAGGCTGCCTGGGTTCTTTGGCTCATGGCTCCCTTCCATCTTCAAATCTAACAGTGGCTGGTCGAATTTTTCTTCCCATGTTCTCTCTCTGATTCTGACTCTTCTGCCTCCCTCTTCCCTATATGAGAGTCCTTGTGATTACAGTGTGCCAATCTGGGTAAGCCAAGATAATCTCTTTATTTAAGGTCACCTGATTAGCAACTTTAATTCCCCCTTTCCATGTAACATAACACTCACAGGTTGCACAGATTAGGACGTGGACATCTTTGGGGGCCTGCTATTCTGCCTGTCACACTCTCTATTCTCCCTACCCCCCAGCCCTAGACAACCACTCACCTATTTTGTGTCTATCAATCTACCCATATTTTCTGTTCTCCTTCATATTCCATTTTTTTCCTTGAGTTTCACATTCAGCCTTTGCTCTATCTCCTTACTCTTATCGGTCTCTTTGTGGCTGCCATCATTTCCCTTGTTTCTTGGGATATGATTTTGGCTTCCAGAGACAGAAAATGGAGAGTATGGCAGGGAAGATAAGAGGGACAAAGTTTTATACCAAATGCTGGTATAAAATAGGTGCATAGATATCATCAAATAATATTAGCAAGTGATTAGCTACAAATTGCCCAGATACTGAATCAGCTGGATAGTATAGTAAAAATAGCCCTTTCTGTAAATGAGATCACTTGGTTTAGGGACAACCTACTTGGTCTTTGAAGGTCTCAGTTATCTCACACTGTAAAAGGAAAGGAGTTGAACCAGATCAGTGGTCTCTGGGGGTGGTTCCTGGGCCAGCAGCATCCGACTCTCCTGAGAACTTGTTAGAAATGCAAATCCTCTAGCCTCACCCTAGACTGCTTCAGAAACTCTGGGCATGATCCCCCCCCCCATGCCAATCTGTGATTTAACAAACCCCTCAGATAATTCTGATGTTATGCAAAAGTTTGAGAACCACTGGACTAGATTATGTCTGGGTTTCCACCAAGTGTAATAGGCTATGAGTACATTTCTAGGTAAGTAAAAAGAAATATAATTTCTAGTAGGAAGAAATTAAGAAAATGCTGAAAAGGAATAAGGTAATGTGAAAGTTTTGGATTTTAAGATCCATATTAGAAGGATTTGTTTTGTTGAAATTTCCCATCATTCAATATTTTACTTCAAGTCATGACCTAAATCCAAACCCTATAGTTTCTGTGTATGATCCCAAAGAATCTTAGAGTATATATTGCATGAAGTGAAATGAAGATCTGTTATTTTCCATCCAAACTTGCTGTGTGTGTTTCACACCCACAGGTGTATAACACTGGCCCAAGCACCCTTCCTGGATCATCTGTCAGCATCTCTTTCCCTAATCGACTGTTGTCTGGTGGTGCAGAGATGTTTCATGTCCAGGAGATGGTGGTGAGTTCTTCATTTGTTTTCACTGTTGTTTTCAGTTTTTAGCTAGCTCATTTGAGTTTTGTATTTCACCTCAGCCTCATGTCCACTTGAGGATCCCAAAAATTTAACTCATTCTCCCCTTTGGAAATGTATCTGAAGATAGCCAGGGGACCTGCAATACCTGAATGTCTATGTTGAGACTGTTTGGCTAACGCCGTAAGTAGACCTCTTCAGAGATGGGGAAGGGTTGGTTATGAACCTAGCTCCTGGGGCTGACTGTCTCCTGACAGGGCAGCAAGGCCCACAGTGACACATCTGAGCCCAGAATTGCCCACAGGGTAGAGGCCCAGAAAGCATCGTGTGACAGTGACAGTAGTTTCTGGCACTGCTGTCCTCTTGGGTTGCATGGACTGAAAACCGGAGCTGTGTGAATATGGATATGGAACAGGTCACCCCTCCTGAGCTGCCTGCTCAGTTGTTTACGTCCCTTACAGTAATCCATTTATGTTCCATGGTGTGTCCTTTTCTGTACATCCTGCCAAACCAGCAGAAGAAAAGCCTCCAGTGCTCTGGACTGACAGTGTACTGTGGTTTGAACTGAGCGTGAGGTTAACACACCACACGTGTACCTGTCTACCCTCTTAAGTATCATTAATCATACTAACCACTCCACCTTTCCTCCAACGTCTGGCAGTGTTCTCCTCATGGAGCGTGCTCTCCAAGAGTTGTTCACATGAACATCTACAGTGTTGTGCAGAGACTTTTTTTTCTCCATGGACAAAATGATTTATTGAACAAAACAGGAAATTTAAGTCACTCAAATTCTAAAGGTGCCTCAGAACTATGCATATCCCTTTTCCTCTCTATTGATCATCGGGCCAAGGAAAAGCCACTATAAAGGACTTTGGAGCACATTTATAAATAGCTGGCTTGAATGGAAGGCACTAGAAGTGTTTTTTCTGAAGATCTGCAGAACTGCTTGACTGTTAGTCTGGCTTAGTGGACCCTCAAACACCCAAGTGGTATGAGCTGGCTGTATTTTGTTCTTTGAATTCTCAGAAGCAAACCCTTGAGATTTTCAAAACTGTACTTAGAATTTTCACAAAGTCTTTAGCAGAATTCTCAAGGGTGGCCAAGCCTTCCGTTGGGTAGACCAGCCTATGATCAAAGGCCTAGGGCAGTTTCGTGGTATGGAAAAGCAAATTTGCTGACAAATCTCGCCAAGCACTGTATTCTTATGAACAGTCATCACTGGAGACCAGAGTGATGATGAGGCTGGAAACATAAAAGTGGATGCATGATAGGAAAGAGTGATGAGACAACAGTCCCCCGATGCTTGTGTCAGAGGCCTGCAGCCAGCACACCCTTCACCTTAAAGCCCACTGGTGCTAAGCAAGGGCATCTTGTGCTTAGCAAAGTTCCCAGCCTTGCCCCTCCCTTGTCCACCAGAGCCTGAGAATGCTCACTGGGTCAGGTGTGACTCAAAGCTGTTAACGTTCTCCACTTTGGCCTTCTGGGACTTTGAATGGAGCAGAGCTTTGATTCTGGGGATTTGGGTGGCTTGGTGCAAGTCCAGCTCACTCCTATTAGGAGAAACCAGCTCTCATTTTCCATACTGCACCAGGAGGTGACCTTAAGACCTGGTGGCATTCCCTCCCTGCCCCCACCCTCAGCTACCACCATTCCCCAGCCTCCAACAGGCTACCAAGTAGCTGGACACCAGCTGGACATGTTAAGTCAACTAAAGCCCAGAGGCAGATTACCAGGGCCATGGAGGGAAGGCCCATCTGTAATTTGTCCCCACACCCCACTGTGGCCCTCAGGTTATTTCTTTCCTGTTAAGGCTGCCCTTATGATGATGGCCCTTGATATCCATATTGCCCATGGTTATCAACCGTATAGAATGCTGGGAGTGGGCTTACTGGCTTTGTGCGCCCTGGGCCATCACTCCACCTATGGCCTGACTCTGGCACGATTTTCTGACAGTTGGTTCAGAATTCATTTAGAAGTCTCCGGGGCTGCCACTGGGGTCCCTGGGCAGGACTCACCTGCCTCTAGTTTTCACCAAAGGGTCTTCCATGCTTGCCCAAGGATTTCTTGAGGTCTGGGTGTCTGTTAGTGGAGAGTGCGTCTGCTTATATAGGAGAGACTTTTATGAGGAACCTAATGAGGTGTGACCACTCCATACTCTCAGCCTTGGTTCATGTCTTCTTTCCTTGTAGCAAATTTTCCTGAGGCCCTCCGTTCTGCTTGCATTTTATTTAGAAACAGAACCATGGTGGTGGCCTGAAGAAAGACTATCAATTTCCATCACTTCCCACCCACTGAGGTTGTGTGGAGCCCTGTGGGGACACATTGACTTCCCACAGCACAGGGGAAAATGTAGACAGGCCACTGTGGACCGAGTGTCCCTCAGGAAGCCAAGTTAGAATGATGATGAAAATAATAGAGTCAGAAAGAGGAAGAATGACAGACCTTTCTAGTCCATCTAAAATAACATCATTACAATGACAAATCGTTCTTGATTTATTCTGCAGGCACTGGCTGAGCAAGCACCTATTATGTGCCAGGTTCTGCGAAGAAGAACAAGTTACACATCTGCCCCAGAAACTTGCTGTCTTACAGGAGACAGATATATAAAATGCATTTGCAATACCATGAAACAAATGCAGTAATGGCAGCATGCCCAGGTCCAAGGGTAGTACAAAGGGAGAATGCCCATCCTGGGGAGGAGCATTCACAAAGTAGGCTCTTCTAGTCAGGGCTTAGAGGATGGGTAGGAGTTCACCAGGAGAACACTCCAGATGGGGGAACGTCACTATGTGTGGGAGTACAACAGCCAAGGGTAGTACAAAGGGAGAATGCCCATCCTGGGGAGGAGCATTCACAAAGTAGGCTCTTCGAGTCAGGGCTTAGAGGATGGGTAGGAGTTCACCAGGAGAACACTCCAGATGGGGGAACGTCACTATGTGTGGGAGTACAACAGGGGTGGTGTCTACTGCGGTGGAGCTGTGCGTGCTTCTCCACTCTCTTATGCAAATAGGCAATGGTGAGTGTTCCTTCAGGGTGTACAGCAGGTAGATATCTTGGCAGTATGACAGGGAGTACTACACCACAGTCATTTCCTGTGACCTTTGCTGAATTAATCACTCTTATGGGCTGCATTGCATGTGTGCTGTAGACCTACACCTTCATTTTCTGCTGACTTTGGAATGGGGAAGACCAGGCCGCCTGCCACCCGAGGCTGTCTAACCACAGGTCATGGACGTTGTCAGCAAATGAAACCCCTAGCTGCTGCAGAGAGCAGTGGCTTCTGTGGGCCATACAGCCCACGTGAGGCAAAACATGTCCATTTGCTCCTTAGAGAAGGTTCCTGTTTGAAGTGAGGATCTATCTTCTCTCACACAGCTTGATTGGAACTGGCCTGAAAAATTTAACCACTTCACTTTTTTGCAGTTCTTTTCTTCTGCAACGTTTTGCAGAGCCCCTGAGCACAGGTCTAAGAGAGTGCCAAGATAACGCATCTGTCACTGGCTAATGGCTCATGAAGGCAAGACCATTTGGATTTGGGAGATGGTCTGCTCCAAAGTTAAGTTTCACTCATGATGTATGCAGGCTCAAGGGAAGAGATGTTGATTTGTCTCAAGCCCCAAGCTTCACTTAATAAAGCTAAAAAGCTGTCTCTGTGAGCAGGTTTTTAACACTGGAGGAGAAGGCTTTGGGGTTTGGCCCTTGTTAATGTACAAGAAGGAAAAAAGTCATGAGTGATGACTAGCAGGGTGTGAAGGGCAAGAATTTTATTCCAAGTAAAAGTACTGGGCATTTCAGGGAACTCTAATATTAATCTAGAAGAAGCATGAAATGAATGTCATAATATTCTTTCTTCCTCCTACAAAACCCTCTGAAAATAATGACCTCTCTGGATCTCTGTCCTTGCTATTGGGCAGTGATTCTAAAGAACTGACCCAATTTCCAAGAACTAAAATAGGGTGGGGATGAAGGATAATTTTCCAAGGAAATACATCAGTAACTTTGCCTTAGGGCACCATTAGGATATTGATATCAATATATGGACACCAATATCCATTAGAATATTCCAAGTTGGTGCCAGGACTTACATTTTAGTAAATGATAAAATTCCCTGCCTCCCCATGCATGCACACCAGACAGGGCTGCCCATGTCTACTAATTTCTGCCTAAATGAGTCAGTTGATGTGGGAACTTCAATTAGCTTGTGATGAGGCTGTCCTATATCCTCATGAAGAAAAGGCACAACTGATGTATCACTGCGCCACAACAGAAGCTTAAACTTAGAAATGGAAAACCAAAGTGTTTCCGCAAGGATGATCTGGGGAAGCTTCTAATAAGGGTGGTGTTGGGGCCATCAAATCAATCAGATATAATCAAAAGCTAGAGTGGAGAAATTTCTGCTGACAAAAGAAAAAGTAAAGAATACCATTTATTGCTGTCCCAAGGATCTAGGAGCCTTTTTTGTGTGCTGTCAAATTTAATCCTCACCACACCTCCATAAAGTAAGTTTATTATCCCAAGTTGAAGAACCAAGACTCAAAAACTTGCCCAACCTCATACATCTGATAAGTAATACAGCTGAATTTGTAACCAGGTCTTTCTGCCTCCAGCGCGCACGTGCTTCCCACAGCACTGCATTCCACACCCTCCTGGGAGCACTGCCCAGTGACCAGAGGCGGGCTCAGTCAACAGGGCAGACAGATGATGAGCAGATCACCAAGAATTACCCACCAGATGAGGAGCATATACACCAGGACAGACAGGCGCCAACTGAAATCAGAAGAAGAGCTAACAATACCAGCAGGCATAATAACAAGGCAAACAGAAGATTCTAGAATAAGCAGGAATGATGTCTTCAGACTGATGCAAAAAGACAGTGTTTCCATGAAATGGAGTAAACTGAGTTATAAATTTAAAATTTTTATCATTCAAATAAAACCTCAACATATGAGCTGCGTGGTAGACTGTATAAAAAAAAAATAAAATAGTGG